GCGGCTAGCCCGGGGCTCAGTCCCCTCGCCGGGAGAAGGGGTAGAGTCTGTCTGTCAGCGAGCGAGGCCGGCAGCCACAGACCGGGTCACCGGACTGCATCACCCCTCGGAGAAGAAAAGAGGGCGGAGCCTGCCGACCTGGAGGCGGGGTTTTGTCAGGGCTGGAGTGGAGCCTGCAGAGGACCCCGGGCTTTGGGAACCAGACTCCAGGCTGGGGGGCGCAGACCGAGGGAGCTCCGCTGGGGGCGCTGCACTTTGAGCGGGCGGGGACCTGGGGCGACCCGGGGCCCGGCATTTCGGGGAGCGCCGGGGAAACGGCGTCTCTAGGGGTGTGGGCTCTGCAGGGGTTCCTGAGGAACTGGACTCGCAGCGCGCTCGCAGGGCGAGAGGTCCCGTGGAGGCGGAGCTTAGGATGCAACGAAGTCCGGCGGCCCCCGAGGCAGGTGTGCAGGGCGTCCCCTGGGTCTGCGGCCTGACTGCAGAACGCAGCCGGGAGGTCGCGGGGCGCAGCGCGGAGCCCGGCTGGGTGCGTTTCTAGGGATCCCAGTAGTTCTCGTGGTGCTGCGCGGCGATGATGATGACTACGGTGAGGATGGTACAGAGCACCATGGCCGCAATGCCTACGGCCAGGGAGATGAAGGAGAAATTCCGGGCCTCGCGCGAAGCGATCTCGGCCGACACCATGTCTCCGCGGGCCAGGGCCGTGCGCACCTAGGACAACGGGTGTGGGGAGGGGGCGGTCAAAGAGCCTTGGCCTCGCTCACAGGCCTCGGCCCCGCCCCCAAGATAAGCTCCAGAGCGCCCAGCACTCCCTGGGACTAAGAAAAGCCCAGCAAGCCGCTGCCCTCTCCCCACCTGCACTGCCTTGAAGATGGCGATGATGCCCGTGGGCCAGAAGCAGCAGATGGTGGTCAGCACCGCGATGGGCATGTAGTCGTGTGGCGGACGCCTCGGCTCCAGGAGGGCCAGGCCTGGGCCCTGGGGGAGGCGGGGGGTAGCGTAGAGGTCACTCCAGTTCCCCCCGGGGTCCCGCCTGCATAGGGCTGTGAAGGAAAGTTGGGGGGGGCGATGTCACTGCGACCCTCCCAGAGCTCCCCACGGTGGATTGCTGGCATAGTGGTTTTGAAAGCCCATTCCTTAGTCCGGACTTCTCATTCTACTACCTTGTCAGGACACCCAGATATTTTGCATAGGACCCCCTCCGTCCTTCACTGCGTCACCAACCCCCTTATTCTTGGGGGTCTTGCCCTCTCCAAGCTATGGCCTCACCAGCACTGTTCTGACCTCGCTTCAGTTCTCATTTCTCCCTGCCCACCCAGTCCCGGGTGCTTCTGCCTCATCGACTCAGGTGTCCCCACCCTCAGCACCTCCACCTCGCCCCGGGGTTCTCGGGTGCATTTATTTCTCTCCTGCCAGGCGCTTCAACTTCTTCCAGACTCCTCCGGCCCTCTAAGCTCTGTCCCCTCCAAGGCCCTGACTTGACACCAGTAGACCCGGAGGCCCCTCACCTCCAGGAACAGTCCCTGGTCCCGCCCCTCTCGGATTCCCTTCTCTTTGGGTCTTGTCCCTGGAACACCGCCTGGTCCCCTGGCCCTGTTTCTCTATCCCTCCTGCCGCCAGTGCGTCCCCAATTTCAAAGTCTTGTTCCACCTGCCCGGCTCCTCCCAGGCCCCCTACCCCCGCCCCCATCTGCCCCAACTCACCGTACCCACCGGGTAGACCGGCACGTAAGCAGTGCAGGGCTGCAGATGCAGAGGGTAGCCGGGAGCGACGTAGCCCCCCCAGCGGCAACGTGCCAACCGACCCAGCGTAGCGTGGGCACCACGAAGCCGGGGGCCTGGGCGGTCTGGGCTGGCGGCGGCGGGGGCGGGGCGGCAGCGGCGGGTGGCGGCGGGGGAAGTGGGCCCTCGAAGCGAGTCTCCTGCAGGTAAGGGTCGGGTGGCATGCGGGGCAAGGTGGCGCTGCCGGGTGGAGGCGCCCCGGCGGCTGGGCCGGGCGGGGCGTGGTGGGGGGGCCGGGGCAGCGTGGCAGAGGACGAGGGACCGCGCTGCGCGGCGGCCGCAGAGGCGGCCAGGCCGCCTGCTCCTAAGCGCGGCAGGGTGGCCGTGCCAGACTGGTGGTAGTGGTGGTGGTGGTGATGGTGCGAGGAGGGGGCTGCCTGTGGGGGCGGGGCGGGGGGCTCGGCTGGGGGTTGGGGGGCATTGTATGGCGGCGGCGAAGTGTGAGGGACTGAGTCCGGAAGGCCTGGGAGCGGTGAGCCGACAAGAGGATCAGGGGAGAGATGAGGAGTAAGGCGAGGTGCAGTCAGGGACGGAGGAAGATGGTGGGAGAGACACACACACAGAGAAGTGAGAAGCCATCGCTCATTCTGGGGTCAGAGAGGGGTTGTATCTAGGCCACCTGCTCCCCCCTTCCTTTCCATCTAGTTTTGAGGTCACACCTGTGCTCTGCTCTTCTTTTCATTCAGCGATAAGCACCCAGCTCCCACCAGACCCCGGCTCCTATCCTTGGGGTGGCTTATGGCAGCTGGTCCTGTTTGTTCACATGTGCAGACACGGAACGCCGTGTTGACATGTGTTCAACAGTTGCATAAACACGTATGGGACGACATGTTCCTCTGGGCTATTCCTGCTGTAGAGGGCTGCCCTGGGCTCTCTGGCAATCTCTGGTCATGGTCTTAGGGTATTCGACTCCCCTGCCAACCCCAATCTGATCATGTCTCTCCGTATTTCTCCACTGGATGTCTCCATGTGAGCCGGAGACTGTCCATCTGTCACTCCCAAGAATGCTATCCCTGCAGTCCCTGGCTGAGGCTAAGCCACAGCCACATTGTACCTCCGTCACCCTCTCAACCTGCCCCCCACCCATGTTACTGGCAAGGGGCACAGGAGGATACTGGAAAGAGGAAGGGAAGGGAGGGAGGGGAGGGAGAAAGAATGGGGAGGGGGATCAGGGGGAGTTGAGAGCTGGAGAGAAGAGAAATGGAACAGAGCACCCGAGGTGGGGGGGGCAGGTAAGGGAGGGGGTCGGAGCCGGGGGATAGGTTCAGGAGATTACAGAGGGAGCAGGAGGGTTTGTTATTGTTTTTTACCTGACTTCTCCGATGACATGCCTGTGGTGTCGCTGGGACAAGGTCCCTGCTGTTGGAGTCAGGAACCCCAGCCGGGTCCAGAGTCTGGGTCCGGGATGGCGCAGCCGGCAGCAGCGCAGAGATGGAGAGATGAAGACAGCGGCTGGGGGGGGGGGGGGGATGGAGGTGGGGGGGAGCTTAAAGGGACCGAGGCAAGGGAGGGGGAGGGCTTCAGATGTCTCCCCCCACTTCGTCTCCTCCGTTTCTCTGTACTTGGACCACCTCTCTCCTCCTCTCACCCTGGCATTCTAGCCCCCAGTTTGGGCTCCCTTGGAGTTGTCATGGAAACAGGGAGGCAAGACCAGGCGAGGCGGGTGGGACTAAAGGAAGGAGGGAGAGAGAACTCTCTAGAGTCTTCCCCACCAAGGCTCGCTATAGTGACTACATTACGGGAGGAAGCAAGCAGGTGCGCAGCAAATTCAGTAGCCCAGTTCCTCACCTGGTTCACCCAGCGGGGTCTTCCCTCCCTCAGCTTCCCTTTGAAACTCCCTGCAAGGCAGCAGGGTCTTTTCTCAAATCCTTGGTCGCAGTTTTCTCCTTGTTAGGAGAAATAAATGTGTGGGAGAGCACTGGGCAAAGTGGACAGCTGAGGTGGTCTGAAAAGTTTCTAAGGTACAGCGTGCACCTGCAGTGAAGTGAGATGATTGGGGATAGTCAGGCCTGTTGGGATGGGTGTGGGGAGAGGCAAGAGTGAGCTTGGAAGGTTGCAGAGACATCTTCCTCCCGGGTTAAGGAGCTTTGGGAGAGGAAGGATGGCAGCGAGGTTGGGGAAAGCATGTTTGTGCTTCCCGGCCCACCTTGCCTGTCCAGCTGCCCTGGGCTTCCTGGGGCGTCTGTGTTCACATCCATTCTCCGAAGTCCCCTGCCCCCACCCACCGCGGCTGCCCACGCAGCTCCACCTCCTGAGCGACCCGAGGCACCCGGTTATTGCAGTCTTTTATTTGCTTTTTGCGTCTTGGAAGCGCGTGGGTGGGGAGGGGGTTGAGGACAGGCGGCCTATCGAGATTCACACCAGTTGGTCTTTTTGCCAAAAAATAAAAAAAAAAAAAATAAAAAAAGCCAGAGAAATATTGTTATCCCCTTTCTCCTTTTCTCTGCTCTTGAAGGCTGGTACTTCCCGGTCCCCGCCAGAGGCAGTCGCTGTCGCTGTTCCAGTCCTGGCGGGGACCGCAGACCGGCACCGAGTCCCGACCGGGACCGGGACCAGGACCGCAGGGATTCAGATCCCAGCCTCTTACCGGTCATTCCGGTTTTGCAGGCGTTCGCTTGAGCCCCTGGTCCCTTCCCCCAACCCCTCCTCACTTGACACAATCCCGAGCGCAGATCGGTTTTATTGGGAGAGACGAGTTTAGCAGGAGGAAAGCGTGTGCCAGGAGGGAGGAGGAGCTCAGACCTGCTGAGAAATCCTTTCCTAATGGACGCGTCTTCAGATACTAAGTAAAAGCCCTAACAGATAAAGCTCTGGCCGCGACGCTAGGGTGTCGGGCAGGGGGAGCACAGCGGCAGAGCAGGTGTGGACGCCCGAAGTCCGGACGGGGTGGGAGGGCCCGGAGCTGCCCCGGGAGGCCCGGCTGGTAGGGGTCGCCCAGTTTCAAGGATCTGTCGGAACCACGCAGGCGTGAGTCAGCGCAGCCCTGGGGGCCCTCCGCCCCTTGGGGGGTGGGTCGTCTTTGGGGAGGGGAGTCTAGTGGAGTGAGGGCGGGGAAACTGGGCCAGGCTGCACTTAGCTCAAGGGGCCTTGAGGACTCTCCGCGTCTCGGGAGACAAGGGCACTACACGCACTTCACAAGGAAGAGCTGTAAGGCGCTGACCTGGGGCGGGCGCGCGGGCACCCGGAGGACGCCTGGGCTGCCGTCAGCCCTCTTGGCCGCCCCGCCAGCTCACTCAGCCGGCGGGCGGCAGAAGGCGCAGGCCCCCTGTCCCCAGTCTGCCCCCAGCGTCCCTTGGGGACAGGGAACTTCGCGTTCCGCTGCGGAGCCGGGCCTCTGAATTGGGAAGTGGGGGCAAAGCAAGGCAGAGAAACCGAGCCCTTGAGTCTCTGGGTGCCGCGGGGGCCCGAGAAGCTTTCTTTCGATGCCCAGGATAATCGTTGCTTCTCCTCCCCACTGGCCTGAATGGATCGCTCCGCTTATCCCCCCCCCCGCTCCTAGGGCGCAGTGGAACGTTCCACTGCCCCTCCGGTCCCGGGCCGCGTTACGGGGGACGCTGGCACCGTTGCCAGGGAAAGCCCCGGACGTGACGGCTTTGCGCGACCCCGAGCAGCCCTCGCCGCTCCCACCCGTCGTTCCCCGGCGCGCTGTCCTCTCACACCCCCTTGCCTTCCTCGCGGGTTCCAGGCTATCGAGAAGTAAACAGCGGGAGGACAGAGGCCTACGGAAGCGGGCCAGGTGGGCGTGTGCCCTCTCCAGGGGGCTAGGCTGCTGCGCGGGGGTCGTCCAGAACCCCTGCTCGTGCTAGGCTGCTGTGATGCGTTAGGAAGCTTCAGGGCCTGGGGACCCTGCCCCCTGCCTCTCTCCACCCCCTCCCCGCCGAGCGCCGAGTTGGGGGCGGGACTTGAGGTGCTCACGGGCGCATCTGCGTGGCCGAGGGGTGTGTTTGTGGGGAAAGGACTGGAGTTTGTGGGAAGTAGGTTATTTTGTGACAAGGACCGGCTGTGGGAGCAGGAAGGGAAGGTTTGATGGCCAGGCGTCTATTGTGAGCCGGGGAGGAGTCGTTGTCTCCCTCACAGCCTCTCATCTCCCCCCTCCTCAGGCGGGAGCATGCTGGGACTCGGTGGGCAGCGGCTGCCCTGCGCCTGGGTCCTGCTCCTGTTGCCGTTCCTGCCGCTGCTGCTGCCCGCAGCCCCCGCGCCGCACCGCGCTGCCTACAAGCCGGTCATTGTGGTGCACGGGCTCTTTGACAGCTCGTACAGCTTCCGCCACCTGCTGGAATACATCAACGAGGTCTGTCGGGGACGCGGGGTGGAGGGCATTGAGGGTGTCCACAGAGACTGGGGAGGGGGAGGGCGGGGGAAGAGCTGAACGCCGCTCCTCTGGGCCTGCCCGGTTCCCTGCCGGGGGCCGGGAAGGCCTGGTTCCAGCAGGGCACCGTCGGCCTGCGGTAGCTGGGAAGGGGGAGGGGGACGCTCACAGCCCTTCCTTGGCGGCTGCATTGCCCCCTCCTCACAGACACACCCTGGGACTGTGGTGACAGTGCTAGATCTCTTCGATGGGAGAGAGAGCTTGCGGCCCCTGTGGGAACAGGTGCAAGGGTTCCGAGAGGCTGTGGTCCCCATCATGGCAAAGGCCCCTGAAGGGGTGCATCTCATCTGCTACTCTCAGGGTAGGCAACCCCTCCCCCGACTCCTGAGCCCTGTCTGTTTCATCCTTGCGTGGGAAAAGCTGCCAGGTGTCCCCTCTTCTGCGCCACACTGCCCAGAGAGAGCCCTGTCACCTGGGCCTTTCCTTTCTGACTTTTTTAGCGTTGGGCTGGTCTCAGGCTCTTGTATGGGAGGGAGGCTCCTTCTTCCTGCGTAACTCTTGGTTCTTGGACTTGAGGGCTATGGGGTGTGTAGAAGCATCCCAGAGTTAGCATCAGGCAGCCTGGAACCTATTCTGGCTGTGCCACAGGGCGTGTGACCTTTTGGGTCAGGGTGTATCTGCCTTCTCCTAGTCTCCTTTATGTGCATTGTGGAGGGGGGAAGAGTAGGGCTGCAGTCTCTCGTCCTGGCTGCCCTTAAGACCCTGCCCAGCCTTGGTGTTCTTCCTACAGGGGGCCTCGTGTGCCGGGCCCTGCTCTCTGTCATGGACGATCACAATGTGGATTCTTTCATCTCCCTTTCCTCACCACAAATGGGACAGTATGGAGGTGAGTGGGCACTGTGGGCTCCACTGAAGGCCTTGAGCTTGGCGGGCACAAGGTTGGTGGCCACTTGGCACTGCCGCTGCTCTTTTGCCAGACACAGACTATCTGAAGTGGCTCTTTCCCACCTCCATGCGGTCCAACCTCTACCGGATCTGCTATAGCCCCTGGGGCCAGGAATTCTCCATCTGCAACTACTGGCACGGTGAGTTGGGGTTGCTGAACGGGGGGCCCCACGGAGAGGGCATCCTGGAGGGGGAGGGCTGTGGCTCTCCTCTCTACAGCAATAGTGATAACTTGCATTATGGAGCACGTCCTATCTGAACAGGCAGCATTGCAATGCCTTCTGTTTATCACCTCATTGCCTCAGAGTCTCTATCTGATGCCGGGGTCGACACAGCCTGTCTGTAAAGAGCCACATAGGAAATGTTTGGGCTTTTTAGGCCATAAAATCTCTGTCACAGCTGCTCAATTCTGTTGCAGTATGAAAACAGCCATAGACCTTATATAAATACATGTGTCTCTATTCCAGTGAAACTTGAGTTACAAAAATGAGTGGCAGGGGAGGGCGTTGTGGCACAGTGGCTTAAGCTGCCCATATCGCATATTGTAGCACCTTGTTCAAGTCCTAGCTACTACGATTCCTATCCCGCTTCCTACTAATGCACCTTGTGGGGAGCAACTGTGAGCAACTCGGACTAGACTAAGTTACTGGAATTAAGACTTATTCTATGCATCTGCTTTCCCACAATATGGCGCTGAGAAGGGAAACAGCTTCTACACAGATGCCTCCAGTTCAACCAATAAGCAGCAGGACCTGCTCCTGATTGGAGGAGAGCAGTGTACTCGGCGTGTGGGTAGCAGAGTTGGGATTGGTGGAAGAGGACTATAAAGGAGGAGAGAGACGGCATGCACTAGGAACATCTAGGGGGAACATCTGAAGGAACACCTGTGCAGCCCCCGAGAAAGCCGGCCGGCGGTGTGCCGCTCCCCTGCGGAAGTGGGGAATGTGGCCAGGGGGAACTGCCCTTCCACGGAGGTGGAAGGGATAGTAGCCAACCCGGGAAGAACCAGCAGCAAACCCGGGGAGGGCCGAGCAGACGAAAGAACAGCGCAGGGTCCTGTGTCGTTCCTCCGCGAAGAGGGGGAGTGACACACCTGGGAAGGCAGTGGATGATAGCCCAAATACTTGGGTCTCTACTATCCACGTGGGAGACCTGGATGGAGTTCCTGGCTCCTGGCTTGGAATGGAACCAACCAACCAATCTTCCTTCCTTCCTTCCTTCCTTCCTTCCTTCCTTCCTTCCTTCCTTCCTTCCTTCCTTCCTTCCTTCCTTCTTTCCTTCCTTCCTTCCTTCCTCCCTCGCTCTCTCACTCTCTCGCTCTCTTGCTCTCTTGCTCTTTCTTTAATTTATTTGACAGGTAGAGTTATAGACAGTGAGAGAGATAGAGAGACAGAGAGAAAGGTCTTCCTTCCGTTGGTTCACTCCCCAAATGGCCACCATGGCCGGCGCTATGCTGATTCGAAGCCAGGAGCCAGGTGGCTCTTCCTGGTCTCCCATGGGGGTGCAGGGGCCCAAGAACTCAGGCCATCCTCCACTGCCCTCCTGGGACTGGAAGAGGTGCAACCAGGACTAGAACCCGGTGCCCATATGGGATACCGGTGCCGCAGGCGGAGGATTAATCAAGTGAGCCACAGCGCCGGCCCCTGGAAGATTTCTTTCTTTCCTTGTCTCTGCCTCTGTCACTGTGCCTTTCAAATAAATACATCTTTTATTTTTCTTAAAAAAGATTTTACTTATTTATTGGAGAGACAGAGAGGGAGAGACAGAGAGAAAGGTTTACTCTGGTTTATTCCCCAAATGGCCGCAATGGCTGGAGCTGGGCTGATCCAAAGCCAGGAACCTGGAGCTTCTTCGGGGTCTCCTACACAGGTACAGGTGCCCAAGAAGTTGGGCCATCTTCCACTGCTTTCCCAGGCCATAAACAGAGAGCTGGATTGGAAGAGGAGCAGCCAGGACTTGAACCGGCGTCCATATGGGATGCTGGCCTTGCAGGTGGAGGCTTAGCCTACTATGCCACAGCACCAACCCAAATACTTGGGTCTCTACTACCCATGTGGGAGAAAAAATAAATAAATAAATCTTAAAATCTTAAATCTTAAATAAATAAATCTTAAATCTTAAAAAAAAAAAAAAGTGACAGGTTAGATTTTGCAAATAGGTCATTGACTCTACTATATGACTTTGGATAAGTTGCTTACTTTGCCGTGACTCAGCTTTCTTGATTTGTGAAATAATAACAGAGCATGAACCTCATGGAGCAGTTGTCAGGTTAAGTAAGTTAATGAATGTGATGTTCTTTGAACAGCATCTGCCTCCTAATAGGTGCTGGATAGTCATGCTTGCTTTCATGTTAATAATTACTGTTGCTGGTGTGACAGGGCTAACCGCCCATTACTGTAGCCTCCTGACTGGTCTTGCCACCCCTTCATCCTCCCCTGACTGTCCTGTAACTGCTGTTTGTCCCAGACCCTCACCATGATGACTTATACCTCAATGCCAGCAGTTTCCTGGCCCTGATCAATGGAGAGAGAGACCATCCCAACGCCACTGGTGAGACCCCCATGCTCCTACTTGGGTCCCCCTTCCTGCTTCTCTGACCTACTGTGTCCCCCACTCTGGCCTGACCTGACCCCTGTGGCTGACTGAGGCTCTCTTCTTTCCAACCCCCACACAGCATGGCGGAAGAACTTCCTTCGTGTGGGCCGCCTGGTGCTCATTGGAGGCCCTGATGATGGTGTTATTACTCCCTGGCAATCCAGGTAACAAGGGACTGCGTGGCCTGAAGCTTGGCTAAAGACACTGCCTAGGCCCTATCAATCTCTGTCTCACGCCTCCCTACCTTCCACTCATTCTGCCGCCCCAGACCAAATCCTGGAGGTTGTACCCCAACCCCTGTGTCTACCATGTCACTTCACTAAGTCCTACTGACCGATTCTACTTTCTCTCCATTCCTGCCACCACCCCGTCTGAGTAAAAGTTTGCAATTTCCAAGTTCTTGGGAAGTGGCAGAGATGGCATAGAGGGCCCCATGTACTCTTCACCCAGTTTCTCTTATGCAGTTACATCTTGCCTAAGTAGAGCGATATCAAAACCAGGAAACTGGTATTGGTACAGTGTGTGTGTAACTCTATGCCATTTTGTCACATTTCCTACCACCTCTTTTTTTTTTTTTTTTTTAAAGATATATTTATTTATTTGAAAGAGTTACACAGAGAGAGAAGGAGAGAAAGAGAGAGGTCTTCTATCCATTGGTTCACTCCCCAATTGGCTGCAACAGCTGGAGCTGCACCAATCCAAAAGCCAGGAGCCAGGAGCTTCTTCTGGGGCTCCCATGCAGGTGCAGGGGCCCAAGGACTTGGGCCATCTACTACTGCTTTCCCAGGCCATAGCAGAGAGCTGGACTGGAAGTGGAGCAGCTGGTACTCAAATCCGGCCCCACCGCCTCTTTATTTACCTAGAATACGCTCACAGCCTCCAGCCTCTCCTTGTTGCCCTCAGGAAAATCCGAGGCTCTGTGGCACTTTGTGCTCACCTCTGTTATGGGTGATCTGAAATGTCACCTGAGCTACTTCAGTTGCCCAACAAATACTGCCCAAGCATCATGTGCCCAGGTGCTGTTCTGAAGGGCCATGGGGATGTGCTGGTCAGGAGAAGAGTCCCTCGTGGCTTATGTTCTAGCTGGGGACAATGATACGTAGAAAAGTATGCCATGTGGTGACAAAATAAGGCAGAGGAAGGGATCACAGGATGAGTGGGACCCGTTTTGCATGGTGGCTAAGGAAGTCGTCCTGGTTTGCACAGACTGAAGGAAGTGAGGGAAGGAATTGGGCAATGGTCTGGGGACAGAATGACCCAGGGAGAAAGGGCACCTGCAAAGGCCCTGGGGCAGGTGTGAGGAATAAGGAGGCCAGGATGGCTAGAGCACAAGGAGCTGGGGAGAGGGTGGTAAGGAAGTGAAGGAGGCAGCAGGGGACCAGTTATGTGGAGCCTGTGTTGGCTGAAGTGAGGCCCTTGACTTTATATTTATTTTTTATTGTGATAAAATTTAGTTAACATAAAAAATACTATTTTAATTCATTTAAAAAAAGATTTTATTTATTTATTTGAGAGGTAAACTTATATATAGAGAGAGGGAGAGACAGAGAGAGAGAGGTCTTCCATCCGCTGGTTCACTCTCCAAATAGCCCCAGTGGCTGGATCTGGGTCAATCTGAAGTCAGGAGCCAGGAGCTTCTTCCAGGTCTCCCATGGATGTGCAGGGTCTCAAAGACTTGGACCATCTTCTACTGCTTTCCCAGGTCATGGCAGAAAGCTGGATTGGAAGTGGAGCAGCTGGGATACAAACTGGTGCTTATATGGGATGCTGGCACCGCAGGTGAAGGCTTAGCCTACTACGCCACAGTGCTGGCCCCTATTTTAACTAAATTTTTTTAAAAAAGATTTATGTATTTATTTGAAAGAGTCACACACAGAACGAGAGGCAGAGAAAAAAGTCTTCCATTTGCTTGTTCACTTCCCAATTGGCCACAATGGCCAGAGCTGTGCTGATCCGAAGCCAGGAGCCAGGAGCTTCTTCTGTGTCTCCCACATGGGTGCAGGAGCCCAAGGACTTGGGCCATTTTCTACTGCTTGCCTGGGACATAGCAGAGAGCTGGATCAGAAGTGGAGCAGCTGGGACTCAAACCAGCGCACTGCAGGCAGCAGCTTTACCCGCTTACACCACAGCGCCAGCCCCTATTTTAACTCATTTTAAAGTGTACAGTTTATGCTGTTTAAATGCATTCATATTGTTGTGCAGCCACCCCCACTGTCCATCTTCAGAACTTTTTCCCCCTCAAACTGAAATTCCACATCCATTAGAGAAGTCCCCATCCCTACCTCCTCCCAGCCCCTAGCAGCCGGGGCCTTTGATTGTTTATTCTGAGTGGGATGGGAGGGTGTCAGAGGTGCTGAGTGAAGGAGTGAGACCCCTTACAACGCCACAATAGTTCAGTTGCAAGGGACAGGCTTTACCTACGTGACCTCATTTCACCCTTGCAGCCACCTTATGACTGACAGCAGCAGCTCTTTATATGCGCTTGTTCATGTCCCAAGGCACTGTTTTGAGTAGTTCTCCTATGTAAGCTTATTCAACCCCCACCAGAACCCTACAAGGTAATTCCTGTTTTTTTTTTTTTTTTTTTTTTTTTTTTTTTTTTTGACAGGCAGAGGGGACAGGGAGAGAGAGAGACAGAGAGAAAGGTCTTCCTTTGCCGTTGGTTCACCCTCCAATGGCCGCCGCGGCCGGCGCGCTGCGGCCGGCGCACCGCGCTGATCCGATGGCAGGAGCCAGGAGCCAGGTGCTTTTCCTGGTCTCCCATGGGGTGCAGGGCCCAAGCACCTGGGCCATCCTCCACTGCACTCCCTGGCCACAGCAGAGGGCTGGCCTGGAAGAGGGGCAACCGGGACAGAATCCGGCGCCCCGACCGGGACTAGAACCCGGTGTGCCGGCGCCGCTAGGCGGAGGATTAGCCTAGTGAGCCGCGGCGCCGGCCCGGTAATTCCTGTTATCTTCAATGGACATAAAAGGACACAAAGAGATTAAGTAACTTGCGCACATTTAGAGACTAAAGTCGGGCAGTCTGGGTCTTAGCCACAATGTTTTACCTCCTCTCTCTGAAGGAGACGTCTCATCTCAGACAAGGAGGGTAAGCGACAGATGTAATGTACTCTGCAGAGAGTAGGGCAGAGCTGGGGCGGCAGTCCAGGTCCCTGTGGCCCTACTGCTGTCCTCCGCTTTCTGCCATCCAGCCCCTCCACAAGGCCCCAGGCCCGCCCCCACCCCCTCCACTATGCCGCTGTGCCTCCTCTCTGGGCCTTTGCTTCGCTGATCCCGTTTTGCCCAGCACAGCCTTCCCTGGGCCAGGGTGATGGCGAGAAAGCCTTTGCCGCTGCTCTAGAACTAGGAAGTGGCTTATCCCCTTAGTTCCCACAGCCTGCTGGACTCAGCACTGTTAGCGTTTATGTTATTTGTGGTCAGGATTCTCTCAGTGCCTGCACTAGTTAAGTATTCTTTAATTTTAAAAAATCTTAAGACTTTTTTATTTTGAAGTGCTTTGTACTTGAGGTTACTGCAGGTGACACTGTGGCGCAGTGGGTTAAGCCACTGCCTGCGATGCCAGCATTCCACACCAGAGTGCCTGTTCAAGTCCTGGCTGCTCCACTTCCCATTTAGCTTCCTGTGAGTGGACCTGGAAAAGCAGTGGATGATGGCTCAAGTACTTGGGTTCCTGCCACACACATAGAAGACCCGGATGGGATTCCAGGCTCCTATCTTTGGCATGGCTCAGCCCTGGCTGTTGTGGGCATTTGGAGAATGAAACAGCAGATGGAAGATATCTCTCTCTCTCTCCTTTCTCTCTCTCTCTCTTTCACTCTGTCAAAATAAATGAAAAATATTTTTTCCCAAAAAATGTTACCAAAATAGTACAAAGCACCCTTGTGTATTTTTAGCTAGATTTTCAAATGTTAACATTTTACTGTGTTTACATTAACATCTTTTCTGCCTCCCAAAAGTCCCTAAGTAAATAAATACATATTTAAAAATTTACTTATTTGAAAGGCAGAGTTACAGATCTTTCATCTACTAGTTCACTCCCCAGATGGGCTACGATGGCCAGGGCTGGCCCAGGCTGAAGCCAGGAGCCTAAAATTCTATCCCGGTCTCCCACATGGGTGCAGGGGCCTAAGCACTTGGGCCATCTTCCACTGCTTTTGCAGGCACGTTAGCTTGCAGCTGGATTGGAGGTGGAGCAGCCAGGACTGGAACTGATGCTCATATGGGATGCCTGTGTTGCAGATGGTGGCTTAACTTTCTGTGCCACAGTGCAGGTCCCCTAAATGTATTTTATGTTTCCTTGTATCTGGTAATATTTAGTTATATTTATTATAGTTGGGGCCGGTGCTATGGTGTAATGGGTAAGGCCGCCGCCTGCAGTGCTGGCATCCCATATGGGTGCTGGTTTGAGACCTGGCTGCTCCACTTCTGATCTGGTTCTCTGCTGTGGCCTGGGAAGCAGTGGAAGATGGCCCAAGTCCTTGGGCCCCTGCACCTGCATTGGGAGACCTGGAAGAAGCTCCTGGCTCCTGGCTTTGGATCAGCTCCAGCTGTTGCAGCCATTTGAGGAATGAACCAGTGGATGGAGGACCTCTCTCTCTCTCACTCTTTCTCTCTCTGCCTCTCCTCTCTCTGTGTGACTCTTTCACATAAATAAATAAATCTTAAAAAAATGCAGTCAACATTTAAATATGTGTTCCCTTTGAAAGTAGCTTGCAGACATGATGTCTCTATCTCTAAATACTTCAGTGCATCCATGTACATACATGGAACATTTTAAAATATGTCCATTAAAATATAAAAAATACATCCACAGTACAATTATCAAAAGCAGGAAATTAAAACAGAGACCGTAATCTATAGACCTTATTCAGATTTTTTCAATTGTCTTTGTAAGAAAGAAAAAAAATCCGATACACAATTTAACTCAGGATCATGTAACATTTAGTCATCATCCTTCTCTCCTTTTTTAAAGATTTTTTTGAAAAGCAGAGGGGAGGGCCTTCCATTCACTGGTTCACCCCCCCAAAATGGCTGCTACCGCCAGGGATGGACCAGGCTGAAGCCAGGAGCCAGGAACCCCATCCAGGTCTCTCACATGGGTGGCAGGGACTCAAATACTTGGGCCCTCCTCTGCTGCCTGCTAGGTGCATTAGCAGGGAGCTGGATCAGTAGTGGAGCAGCGGGGGCTCCAACTGGCAGTCTGGCTCCAAATTGGGATGTGGGTAGCCGCTTAACCAGCTGTGCCACGATGCTCACCCCAGTTGTCAGACTCTAGTCTCTTTTAATCAGGAATAGTTGCTCAGTCCTTGTCCATGACATTGCTGTTTCTGCAGCATATGGACCAGCTGTTTTGTAGAATTTCCTCATGACCAGATTCGGGTTATGTATTTTTGCTGTGATGTCCTCAGTGTGCCATGTCCCGAGGCACACGATGCCCAGTTGAGTGTCCCCCTGCTGCCTGCATTCCTGAAGGACCTTGGCCCACCTTGGTTTTCTCCAGCTCTCCTGATAACCTCCTCCCCACCCCCGAAATCTCTTTGTAGCTTTTTTGGATTCTATGATGCAAATGAGACGGTCTTGGAGATGGAAGAACAACTGGTGAGCTCCCTGGGGTCACTTCACCCATTGCGCCCCCTCCTTCCAGAGCTCTCCCTGTCACTGACCACTGCATTGAAGGGTTCACCCTGTGGGGAGGGGGCCCCGGACACCAGCAGCAACTGACTTTGTCCCTCTTTTTATCTTTCTTCTATGTTTCACCGCCTCGAAGGTTTATTTGCGTGACTCTTTTGGGTTGAAGACTCTCTTGGCACGGGGGGCCATAGTGAGGTGTCCGATGGCCGGGATCTCCCATACAACCTGGCACTCCAACCGCACCCTCTACGATACCTGCATCGAACCCTGGCTCTCCTGAGGGTGTTCTTGGGTCCCTAGGACCGCCCCAGCGCAGAGCCCCAGCGGTGGTCTTGGAAAGCAGTCAAGCTCTGGCATGCCTGTGGCCACCTCACGGCTCCCACACTGCCCCTGCCAACCAGGGCTCCCAGAACCTCCGCCCCCACCCCCCGCCCCCCGGCCCTGCTCTCCCGTGAATGACAGGTCCTTGTCTTCCCTACCTCACGTCCTCTTGTCGGGGGCTGCTCCATGCTCTCCCTTTCTCCCAGAGCTGAGGTTGGGAAGTGGGAGGCAGGTTTTTAACTTGTGACTGCTGCTGCTGCTGCTCCAGATCTGGCTGTACAGGAGGAGAACGCAGCCCCTGCCCACCCCAGGGGCCTCCCTCCAGGCCACTCAGGACATTTTTAGCTTCTGTCCTCTCATGTCCCCTTTTCCTCTGGACTGCCCTGTTCGTCAGCCTTCCTCACCCCCAAGAGAGACCACCCATGGGAGTGGGGTTCTGAGGCTCCCCTATGGGGACAGTTATGTTGTTGAAGTGTCAGTGTTGGGGAATATCTGTGGCCTGTGAGGCCCATCTCAGGTTTGGGGATCCCCCAGTCCCTATGATCAGTGTTGGGGTACCCCTGGGAGCCTAGTTTCTTTGAGGCCCCAGCCCCTCTTTTAACTACCCTCAAATGGGTATTACTCCTGTATTTATGGGAATAAAGTTCCATTTCCGCAGTGCTGCTTGGCTCATTTCCACATGAAGGGGACCTGGCTCTCCAAGCAGGGTGGGGATGGAGAGCCCAAGGCCTGGGTGCCCGGATGCCTGGTGCGGGGCGGGGACCCCCTTGGTGTTTCCGCTCTCTCAATGCCCATTCTGTGTGGGTTCCTGATTCTCTGCGGGTTCTTTCCTGCTGAAGACAATTCTCTTCCTGTCCCAGCCTCAGATTGGGGGGCTGAGCCCGGGGCTTCAGTGGTGTGCACGGCCACAGCCTCATGGGTGGAACAGCCTCATGGGTGGAATGTGCCCGCCATCCCAGCCTAGACGAGGGGGCTGAGGGTCAGGGTGGGCATTCGTCGCGCCCCTCTTCGACCTTTGTGGGCCCAAGCTGGGTGAGGGGCTGGACAATGAGCCTCCTTTTCCTTGAAAGAAGGAATTTTGACTGGGACAATAGGGCCCTGTCTGCTGTGGCATGGGGAGTGGTGACTGACTCAACTCTGGCCCCTAAGCCCTAACAAATGTCATCAAGAGATGGGGACAGTTTTCCCCTTGGTGCCCTGCTGCCCTCTGTGACAACTTGCCCTTCTTTCTTCAGCTGATCTTGCTGCTTCTGGGACCTGAGCCACTCGCGCGCGCGCCTTCTCTCTCTGCCCCTAATTCTGCCCCAGAGAGCTGGGTTGAAGGGGTGTGTGTGTGTGTGTGTGTGTGCACGCGCGCGCGCGCGCGCTGGGGCGGCGTTACAGAGCCAGTAGCTGTGCTGCCTTTGAGCATCTAGAAGCAGGGGGCTCAGAGGGTGGGTATTTCCAGGGAGCCTTTTGTTGCAGTGGGGGTGAGGGCAGTGAGACTTGACCCCATTGCGTTGACCAGGCTGGAGCTGAGGAGGCGGCTTGTGGAAGGGGGCAGGAATGGGAGGACCCTGTCTGGCCCAGCCCCTCCTCTCCTTCCCAGCCTGCCCAGGCCCACCCACTAGTCTGAGTTACTGCTGCGGGACTGCTCTGCCTGAAGTCTCCCTGGAGAAAAGGGGAAGCCAGGTGGGGAGAGAATGTCATGGGGAGAGTGGGGGTCACTCAGAGTCTTAGGGTGGGTGGGGGTTGGGAAGCACTAAGTCGGGAGTGTGTGGCATCAGGTTGTATGTGATGGTGTGGGTGTGTGAAGGTAGCAGGATGGTTTAAAGGTGTGGCGGCTGCAGGTGCTTAGGTTTGTGTGTAAGGTGCGAAGGTGTACATCTTGGGTCTTGAAAGTATGAAGATGAAATTGTAGGAGGGCATGTTAGGAAGGATAACCACGTGTTTTGCAGAGCAGATGAGGGGCGGATAGGCTGCGGGGTGCTGGAGTGTGTCGGGCTGGGAGCCTGGATGCTCTCGGTGGATCATGATATGCTAAACGGGTGGCGCCAGTTAAAGGTACACACAGGTGCAGACAATCCAGGTGTGAACTGAGTGTCTGTCACTTCCTTAGAAGGGCTGGCAGACTGCTCTTGGTGGGGCGGAGACGAGCAGCAGAGGGAAGAGCATCCATTAATCTTTTCTTGCCTGCAGCCCTTGAAGTCTGAAGTCAAAGAGGATCATGGGGTCTGGGGCTGAGCTGCGCACTCTCTTAAGCGGACTCTTCCTCTTCCTGCGACTGCTGTCAGGCGAGGGGGCCAAGGGTGGATCCCTCAAAGCGAGGTGACACAGGGGATGGGGCCGGGGTGAGGTCCTGCGGGGAGCCTCTGCTGGGGGTGGGGCTTCACAGGAGGCATCTCCTCCAGGGGGAGCTGGGCCTCTGTGGCCCCAGGAGGGAAGTGGGCCTCCTGCCTCCCCAGACCCCGGCCCACTCAATGTCTCTCCGGCAATGACGCAGTCAGGGGGTCTGCGCCAAGCAGACACTGATGGTCCCGCTCCGCTACAACGAATCCTACAGCCAACCAGTGTACAAACCCTACCTGACCCTGTGTTCTGGGAGGCAGGTCTGCAGCACCTACAGGTGAGGGCCAGGGAGTTGGGGCTCCAGGCTTTCTCGAAGGGCCCCAAAGACCCCGATGCAAGCCCGAGGCGGGCGCTGTGTTCCAGGACCACGTACCGCGTGGCGTGGCGGGAGGTGAGGCGCGAGGTGCCGCAGACCCACACCACGTGCTGCCAGGGCTGGAAGAAGCGGCACCCGGGGGCGCTCACCTGTGAAGGTGAGGCCGGGTCTTTCAGGCCCTGCGGGCGGCGCGGGGGAGCAGGGCTCGGCTTGGTCTGAATCCCCACTCCCCCGGCCCGGCCCGCAGCCATCTGCGCCAAGCCTTGCCGGAACGGAGGCAGCTGCGTCCGGCCCGGCCAGTGCGAGTGCGCCCCCGGCTGGGGAGGGAAGCACTGTCACGTGGGTGAGTCGGTTCACCACCCCTGCAAGCGGCGCGCGCGCCCCCGCCCCCGACCGCGTCCCCCGCTCAGCCCTCTGCTCTTTCCGGTAACCAGACGTGGACGAGTGCAGGGCCGGCGTCTCCCTCTGCTCGCACCTCTGTCACAACACGGCCGGCAGCTTCACCTGCGGCTGCCCTCACGGTCTGGTGCTGGGACCCGACGGTCGCACTTGCACGGAGGGGTCCCCGGAAGCCCCAACTAGTGCCAGTATCCTCAGCGTGGCCGGTGAGTGTAGGTCACGGGGAAGGCTCAGGGCCAGCGCCAGGGCGGGCAGGTGGTCACCCCTCCTTCTCCCTTGCCCTAGTTCGGGAGGCAGAACCTGATGAGCGCGCCTTGAGGCGTGAGGTTCGTGAGCTTCGAGGGCGCCTGGAGCGACTGGAGCAGGTGAGCAGAGGCGCTTGGGGCCAAGCCTGCGGCGTGGAGGGCCCCATCACCAACACCCCGAGGCGTCTCTTGTTCCTAGTGGGCCAGTCAGGCCGGGGCCTGGGTTCGGGCGGTGCTGCCCGTGCCGCCTGAAGAGCTGCAGCCAGAACAGGTGGCAGAGCTGTGGGGCCGAGGCGACAGAATCGAATCTCTCAGCGACCAGGTGCTGCTGCTGGAGGAGAGGCTGGGCGCCTGTGAGTCCTCGTGCTTCTCCCTCCCTCCGCACCTGCTCTGCGGGAGCCCCTCCCCAGCCCCTCTTTTCTAGAAACCCCTCCCCCAAGCTCACGGTTCCCTAATCGTCCCTGATTAGCCTCACTTCACTGCTACTGGGGGGAGGGGGCTTCATAGCAGTGCCACACTGCTGGGTGAGAGTGGCAACAGTGCACATCCAGGCTGGAGGCAGCACCCCCCCCCCCATGTTATCTGTCCCCTTGTCATTAACCAGGTTCCTGTGAAGACAACAGCCTGGGCCAAAGCCTCAATCACTGATAAGGAGCTCCGCAGCACCCTTGCCCCCTAATTTATACAGACACTGGACCCACTAATCCTCTGGCATTGGCCACCTGGGAGCCGCAGATAAGGCTACAGCAGAGCGGAGCTGAAGAGGGGGTGCAGGTCGCCCTGCAGCCGGCCCCAGTCTTCTGGCTGGGGGCAGGTTGCCTGGGCAAGGACTGCTTGTTCAACTCCTTAACAAACACAAGAAAATGCCCGATCTCTTTCTCTCTCTCTTTATTCTCAGTTTCTTGCTGTTACCCAGATAATGAATAAAAACCAACCACAAAAAACTGGGTCCCAACCTCTCCTTTTGCTCCCATCCCACCTCCCCCATGGTGGGAACATGGAGTGGGAGGCCGGGCGAGCCCGATGCCACTGGGAGGAAATGAAAACTGGCTCCGAGAGGGGGAAACCTCAAAAGAAATAAATTAAAGCCCTCCTACCCCTCCAGCCAGGGTTCAGTTCCTTCGCCCAACTACCCAGGAGCAGGCGTGCAGCCCCTGATGGCTGCCTCTTCCTGCTTGTGTCTGGTTAGAATGGCACAGGGGGCCGGGACCACTGAAGAACTGTACCGTGGGGACGGGGGGGAGCAGAAATGTGGAGATCAAACTGGCATTTGGGAGTGTGCTCAACCCTGGGCTTCTGGCAAGGGCAGGGATGAGGCCTCTGAGTTAGAAGAGTCCAACCCCCTACTGGCAGGAGGCTCCACCAGGAGGGAGGGTGCAGGTGCTGAGGAGTTCCCAGGAGGAGTCTGGGAGAAGTGTTCCAGGTATCGGCTTCTAGACACAAGGTGAGGAGTCCTCCTCACATGGATGAGTCCACTGAATCCACGGACTTAGGGGCGGGGCGGGAGGTGACTTGTTCCACAGAATGGATGAGTCCACTGGCCAGTGTGCCGTGGAGAGGGAGAGAGGACCACAAAGGAAGACAGTCCACTGGGCTGGGCTGGCCTGGAATGTTCCCACCCCTGTGTAGGCTGAGCCACTTGAGATGAGGGGGAGGTGACAGTCCCACAGACAAGATGGCGGGAAGTGGAAGCTGGAGTGGAGACTGCCCGGAGGCAGAAGAGTCCATGGGTGGGCAGGGAGGAGGCAGGGAGTGGCCTTGGATCCACGTTCACTTCAGAAGTTGAAGATTCCAAAGAGGAGAATACGTGGGGAGAGGGGAAACAAGAAAGAGGGCTGGGCCCAGCTTCAGGGCCGGCTGGGCTGGCAGGTGTGGGGAGGAAGGCGGGGTAAACGGGAGGGGAGCTCAGAGCCGGGCCTCGCTCACGTCCCCGGGCTTCTTCAGATAGTCACCCCCACCCCGGCCATCCGTGGAGATTTCCCGGAAAACGGTGAGCATGGAGTGCCGGACTCTGTCAGCCAGAGCTGGGACGTCATCTGGTGTCAGCCCTTCTGTGGGGACTGGGGGCAGCACACGCACCTGACATCGCCCTGCGGGGTGGGGAGCACCATCATGGCCCGTCCACCCATGTCTCTGGCCACAGGGGGGCTACCTTCCAAGCAGTCCTGCTCCTCCCCCTCTCCTCAACCTTTGGTGTTCTTCCCCAGCGCTGGTCACCAACCCCCACCCCCACCCCCACCCCCGCTCCGTCCCCATGCCTTTGTCAGACACCTTCTCTGGACCCGTCCAGCCCCCACTGTCTGGGTCCAAGCATTTGTCATGGGCATCATTCATTTCAACTTTGCACACATGGGCCCTGTCTTTCCTGCTGGATAGTACCAGCCCCTCTTGAAGGGAGCAGGTGCTACCCTACCCGCCATGTAGCAGAGCGCAGTAGGGGCTTAATAAACATTTCCTGGCTGACATGGGGTCCGATGTCAGACCCTGGGGACGTCTCAAGCCTCTGACACTCAGTGACATGACCCCTCCCCCCCCACAGGGTGTCTCCCCCTGGGCCTTCTGGCCACACCCCACCCGGGATGTGCTGAGTCCTCACCGGATGTGAAGCGGCGCTCCTTCTTGCAGTAGAAGTCTTGATAGGAGGACATGACTATGGGGACAATGGGAACCTGGGAGGGGTAAAGCAGGATGAGTCTGTGGCCCCCTTCGGACACCCGCGAGCCTGTCCCAGAAAGGAAGGAGTGCTGGGGACTGGGGGCGGAGTGGCAGCAGGGGGAACGGTCATCACCTGGGCCTGCACTGCAAGATGGAAGGCGCCACGTTTGAAGGGCAGCATGGACCCATTGTGATTTCTTGTTCCCTCGGGAAAAACCCAGACCCTCACCTGGGGGAAGAGAGGTAAGGAAAACACACAGGCAGAGAGGTCATCGTGGGCCCTTGGCCCTGCATATCAGCTTATTTACAACTGTTCCCATCCCTCTCCCTCCTCCCAAATTCCTGTTTCCCCAGGATGACTCACGTCCTGGGTGAGCAGGGTCTGGGCGACCTCAGACATGACACTGATGGCATCCCCTGTGCGCTTCCGGTCAATGAAGATGACTCCTGCTAGCCAGCAGGCCAGCCCAGCAGAGCCGGCCCACAGTAGCTCACGCTTGGCAATGGGCACGCAGCGGCCAGGCAGTACCTCCATCATCCCTTGGGTGGGGGTGGGGGGCGGGGTGAGGATCAGGGTGCAGGCAGTGTCGCAGTGCACAGCCCACCCAGGTCCTCACCCACGCTAAAGGCGGGGGAGGCTTGGTGGTGGGAGCCCCAAGTGAGGGGAAGGGCGACTAAAGGCCCATGTACCCTTCTTAGAAGGGGAAAGGAGGCCGAGGAGGGAGTGAGGGGGAAGTTGAGGACATTCTGGGGGTGGCTCCAGGAGGGGAACATGGCTGGGGGAGTGTGCCCTGTGGTGGGGTCTCACCAAGCAGGTCGAGGGAGCTCTGGTGGTTAGAGACGACAACGTAGGGCTGCGAGGGAGGGAAGTGGTGAGCCCCTCGCACCTCCACTCGGATCCCGTACAGGTATTTGACGTGGAGCAGCATTAGACGCAAGATCCTGTGGGGTCACGGCAAGGGGTCCCAGTGGGATCCATGGATGTCCACCTGCACGCCTCAGCTCCCCCCACCGTCCTGCCTTTTGGTCCTCTTTGCAGCCCTCTCCCCCTTCCTTGTCCTTGGCCTCTCCTGGTCTCATGCCCGCCCCCAACTCCTCGCGACGTCACCACTCACTTCGCACACTTAGGTCCCCCTGTCACCCACCACCCCGTGCCCCTCACTTCATGTTCTCGACGTTGCGTCCCCGCACGGCACACACAGGGATGGCAAGCACGGCCAGGAAGAGGATCCAGCCGTTGTAGAAGGCCATCTTGAAGAAGTACTTGGCACTGGGGCTGCAGAACCACAGGGTGGGCAGCAGGATGAGCAGCAGCAGGAAGAGCAACAGCAGCACCGTCCATGCCCCTGGCCACAGCTCCATTCTGGCCACCTGCGGCGGATGCAGTGAGGGGCAGTTAGCTTGGTTTCTGCAGGGGAGCAGGAGGGGCAACGCACAGAAACAGGCCTGGGGCTGTGCTCAGCAAAGATACAGACTGGGGCCAGTGCTCCCAATGAAGCTTTCCCAGGAAGCTTCTCGAGGACGGGCGGTGGGAATGTGGAGCCTGGAACAGCTCTCCACGCCTCTCCCTAAGGCTCCAGACATACACCTGGACTTCAAAAAGCTCACGGAGAGCACGCATTATGAAAAAAAGGACACATGGATTTCAAAATGGTTTTGCACCTGAATAAACTTATCTTCTAACTCCATTTTTCCTCAGAGTTTTCAAAGCACACTTGTAGGTTGACAGATAAGGGACAGGAGACATGGATATCCACAACTCACAGATGTGTGATCATAAAATGACAACCATGACAGCTAACACTTGCTGCTGGTAAGGGTGTCACAGTAGTCTCTCTCGTGCTGTCCAACACAGCAGACACAACCACATGCAGCTGCTGAGTACTTGAGATGTGGCTAGCCTGAACAGAGATGTGCTGGAAACGTAAAACAGACATCAGGCTTTAAAGCCTGTATGTGAAAAATAGAACGTAAAACAGCCCATTGATCTTTTAGATTGATTTCCTTTGGAATGTGGGGTTCAATAAAAATATAATACTAAAATTAGTTTTACTGTTTCTTTTTTTAAGATTTTATTTATTTGAGAGGTGGAGTTACAGACAGGCAGAGGGAGAGACAGACAGAAAGGTCTTCCATCCTCTGGTTCACTCCCCAAATGGCTGCAACGGCCAGAGCTGGGGCTGATCTGAAGCCAGGATTTTCCTCCGGGTCTCCCACATGGGTGCAGCAGCCCAAGCACTCAGGCCATTCTCTACTGCTTTCCCAGGCATGTTAGCAGGGAGCAGGATCAGAAGTGGAGCAGCTGGGACTCGAACTGGAGCCCGTATGGGATGCCGGTGCCACAAGTGAAGGCTTAGCCTACTATACCACAGCACTGGCCCTTCTTTTCACCTTTTCTAATTTGACTACCAGAAAATTAAAAACATATGGGAGGGGCCAGTGCTGGTACAGCGGGTTAAGTTGCCACTTGCAATGCCAGCACTCTATCAGAGCACTGGTTGAGTAACGGCTGCTCCCTTCCCATCCAGAATCCTGCTAGTGTGCCTGGGAAGGCAGCGGACTGATGGCCCAAGTGCTTAGACCCTTCCTCCAATGTGGAGACCTGGATGGGAGTTCCTGGCTCCTGGCTTCAGCCTGGCCCACACCTGGCTGTTGTGGCCATTTAGGAAGTGAGCCAACAGATGGAAGACCTCTCTGTCTCTCTCTCTGTAACTCTACCTCTCCAATAAATAAATACAACCTTAAAAAAAAAAAAAAAAGACACGTTTATTATGGTACAAAAAAGTTTCATAACACACATTTCTGTGAACTCTTTGAAGGTACCCTCATATTATTTACATTTTTATAGGAAAAAGGCCCAGAGAGGTTAAATGACTTAGCTGAGGTCATATCTCATAAATTGCAGTTTCTAGATTAAACCTAAGCAGCCTGTGCTCCTACGTATACACAATACACAGCAGATACAGTGAAAATGACAAAACACCAACAGACTTAGCAGATCGAAAGCGGTAAGAAAGGTGCATACAGATACACAGAGTCATATAACTGACAAGACACACACACACACAATTACCATCACATCCAGTGACAGTTAAAGG